ATCCAAAATTTTGGTTTCCCCCCCCGCAAAAAAAGTTTGGTTTCCCAGCACCAAGGTGCTGCAGCCACATCCCAGTCCCTAAAAAAAAGAGGTGATTAATGAACAAAAGGGGAGGAGCAGAATTAAATCCCAAAGCACCCGGGAGGCCGAGCTGGTTTGGAACTGAACAATTAACTAAAAAAAAAAAAATAAAAGAAAATAAAACTTCCAAAAAAACCTGGGATTTGCTGAACCCAGCGAGTCCAAAGGGTTTCTCTTCCACTTACAGCAACACCTTGTGGGGTCAGAGACACGATTACACTGATAACCAGGAGCAAAAGCTGTGGGGTTTTTATAATAAAACGAAGCAAAGCCGAGTCTAAACCCCCCTGGTTTGGATTTCCTTGTGTCCAGCTGGGATTTTTTGGATCCTGGAGTGCCCCAGATTGTTGGATCCCTCCAAGTGTTGGATCATCCATGGCTGTGCACGACCCTCCCAGGTTTAGTCTGGATCAGTTAAACTCAGTTTAAGCCGGGCTGTTCAGGTGAGGAGCGGGAAGGAGGATCCTAATCCTGCCTGGAGCTCGTTCCCAGGTGAAATGTTCCATGGGATGCCTCGGGAAGGAATCCACGCAGGAATTCCAGACAATTCCCCGCTCTGTGTGCTAAGCTGAGCTTAAATGATCCGGGTTTAAACCAAGCACGGAGCAGGGACCCGTCTCGGAGCAGGGACGGGTCACTCCCCGAAGATCCACAGGATGTTGACTCCCGACAATCCCAGATTGACACGCCTGGAAAACCCAAAGGGTTGGGAATTACCCCACGGGGCTGTTTAATGGTTTAAACCCCACTAATCAGCTGATTTAAACCTCATTAATAATCTGATTTAAACCCCATTAACCAGCTGATTTAAACCCCATTAATCATCTGATTTAAACCCCATTAATCAGCTGATTTAAACCCCATTAATCAGCTGATTTAAACCCCATTAATCAGATTATTTAAACCCCACTAATCAGATTATTTAAACCCCACTAATCAGATTATTTAAACCCCACTAATCATCTGATTTAAACCCCATTAATCAGATTATTTAAACCCTACTAATAATCTGATTTAAACACCATTAACCAGCTGATTTAACCCCCATTAATAATCTGATTTAAACCCCATTAATCAGCTGATTTAAGCCCCATTAATAATCTGATTTAAACCCCACTAATAATCTGATTTAAGCCCCACTAATAATCTGATTTAAACCCCATTAACCAGCTGATTTAACCCCCATTAATAATATGATTTAAACCCCATTAACCAGCTGATTTAACCCCCATTAATAATCTGATTTAAACCCCATTAATCAGATTATTTAAACCCCATTAATCATCTGATTTAAACCCCATTAATCATCTGATTTAAATCCCATTAATCATCTGATTTAAACCCCATTAATCAGCTGATTTAACCCCCATTAATAATCTGATTTAAGCCCCACTAATAATCTGATTTAAACCCCACTAATAATCTGATTTAACCCCCATTAATAATCTGATTTAAACCCCACTAATAATCTGATTTAAGCCCCACTAATAATCTGATTTAAACCCCACTAATAATCTGATTTAACCCCCACTAATAATCTGATTTAACCCCCATTAATAATCTGATTTAAACCCCATTAATAATCTGATTTAAACCCCATTAATAATCTGATTTAAACCCCATTAAT